CTAGCAGTTCGAAAGCATGTAAAAATGCAAGTAGAAAAATAGGAACCACTTTGGTGGGAAGGTATTTGGCATTTAGTCATGCCAGCCACATGACCACAGAGACGTTTTCAGATAGTGTTGGCTCTTCGGCTTTGACACAGAGATGAGCACTGCCTCCTAGAGTCGGGAACGACTAGCACATACAGTATGTGGGCGGGCCCACCTGAAGATTGGAACGAACCGGTTTGCTCGCAGCTGATCTTCGCAGCTACCGGTTCCCCCAAACCGGGCTGAACTGGTAGAATCCCACCCCTGTAACTGATCCGATTGGATACTTTGGTTTCAGAGTCTTGTTTAGGCCTGCAGATGGATGATGGGTTTTTATATCTTTGTTCTTCTCCTAGGTGGATCACCAGCTGTGAGCATCAACTCCAACCTTTGTTTCTCCAGTCCCATTTCCACTCCTAACATTTTGCCGCAGCAACCCAATCTCTTGTCCACGACTCACGGAACCAGAATGTCTTCTCTCCCAGCAGGCCACCATGTTAGCTGCTACATTCCCTGCAGCCAAGCAAACGCTTATAATGTGGCCCCGTCAGGAGTAAGCCAGGTTGCCCAGCATAGAAATCTAAACCCAATTGTTACCGGTCAAAACAATCCCACGGCGTCTCGGCCAGCACCACCTGGGCAAGGCAACAACATGCCAACCTTTGACAATGGCTTGGGAGTTAACTCCCAGCAAGGGAAGCTCAGCTTAAACCAGGGGACTTCGACACAAAGGCCTTCAAACGTGATGGTCAGTTCAAACGCTGCGGCTCAGAACTGGGTTTCTTCAGAAGCAGGATCGAAGCAACAGGAAACACAGAGGGCTTCGGGGTCCCCATTCTCCTCCGGAAGCTCCTACACCAACCAGCCACTACAGCGCACGAATGCCCTTCAGCAGTTTCCTCAACGGGCCATGGTGCCACCTAACCAGCTGGGCGCCCTCCAGATGAGAACCCCCACGAGCCAAATGAACCCAAGTCTAAATGGACAAGGGGGTGGGCCACCCAAACCCCAGAGCGCAATGCCTACTCAGTTGCAGGCGGAGGTCGTGGCCCACTTAAATCCACCCAGGGTAGGGATGACACAACCCCACCCTTTGTCATCCAACCAGTTCTCATCGAGTGCTACCCAAATGCCCACCAGGGCTTTTCAAGGGACAGATCACTCCAGCGACCTGGCGTTTGATTTTCTGAACCAGCAAGCGGATAACATTGGGCCCGCGCTCAACAGCGACCCGGACTTCATTGATTCTTTGTTGAAAACAGAGCCTAATAATGATGATTGGATGAAAGACATCAACCTTGATGAGATATTAGGAGGCCATTCCTGAGCCAGCTAGCAGTGATGAACTCCCGGTGTTTGTTTTAAGACTGAAAAGTCAGGATATCAGTCTTCGGTTTGTAGAAGACAAAAGTTAGGGGAGGAATGGGAGGAGGAGCAAAACAGTGGGCTGCTGGATCCAACCTTAAAAAATATATTAATGCAACCATGCTTAAACATAGCTTGCCCCATTATCAAGTATGCTAAAAATGGTTAAGTCTGGATCTGTAGCTTCCAAATACAATGGTTCTGATTGAGAAGGGAAGTCGGAGATATGGCTGCTCATCATCTAGACAAATCCTAAATATGTAAGCTAATATTTGCATCTATTACACAAAGGAGCGAACCAGGAATATGCACTGCATCGAAAATATACCGCTGGCATCCACTAATGATTTCTCATGTGTATCCGTGTGTATGTGTGTACAAATAGAAATCTGGCTGGGAAAAATAAACAGTAAACAAAAAACAACAACAACACCCAACTCATCTTAGCAGAAGTCTTCCCTAACCTTGAAGGATCTAGTAGGTTTGATTAGAATCCCTATCGCTTTCAGTCAGTGGCAATGAAACATTGCATCGTGAGAACTGTCAGTCAGGACATCCGGAGTACATCAAAATTATGGATGCAGATTAACACTTTGTAGAGGGAATCCGTGTGGCAAGAAACATAAGTTTATTGATAGAACCCATATATGCGTAACAAACATCCCAGGTTCCACCCTGTTTCCCTGAAAATAAGCCCTCCCCAGATAATAAGTCCAATCGGGCTTTTGAGCGCATGTGATAAAATAAGCCCTCCCCAAAAATATTGCAACACAGCAGCAGGCATGAGGTGACCACGTTCACCACCTCCTGCACCTCCAAAATAATAAGACCTCCCTGAAAATAAGGCCAAGTATTTATATCAAGGATCTAAAGAAAATAAGACCCCGAGGTGGCGCAGTGGTTAGGGTGCAGTACTGCAGGCCACTTCAGCTGACTGTTATCTGCAGTTCAGTGGTTCAAATCTCACCAGCTCAAGGTTGACTCAGCCTTCCATCCTTCCGAGGTGGGTGAAATGAGGACCCAGACTGTGGGGGCAATATGCTGACTCTGTAAACCGCTTAGAGAGGGCTGAAAGCCCTATGAAGCGGTATATAAGTCTAACTGCTATTGCTAACTGCTATGTCTTATTTTCAGGGAAACACAGCATTTAGTGTGGGATGAAAAAGAGTGATCCCACAATCTGAAAGTCCTTGGCACACATGGCAGCTTCCTAAATCTCTAGAGTTCCTAGTACTTCTTAAAACGGCAGCTTTCTGTCCATTTTCCTGGAAATAAATCTACAGAATTAGGTGGAATAAACAAGGCAGTATGCAGATAGTTTGCCCCATAAGTGGCTTCCTACCCACTTTCTTCCTAATATCCCTCCTTATGGGAGAATCTACAGAATATGGAGTACCAAACACAAGAGAAATAGAAACTTTTAATTCAGGATCTGTTTTGAATAGAAATAACGAGTTTGTCCAGCCTGTTACAATTTCATAAGCTTCCTTCTCCTCTCTATAGCTTTCAGATCTGTTACCCTGTTTCTCTGAAAATAAGACCTCCCTGGATAAGAAGCCCGATCAGGCTTTTGAGCGCATGTGCTAAAATAAGCCCTCCCCCAGAAATAAGCCCCGTGCCCAGAATGCAGATTATAGCATTCAAAACAATGTAAAAACAATCCAGTTTTATTTTATGCATCAGTAACACATTATGAATAAGGATGAGGATCCATGAGGCAGGGACCTCTGCAGAAATTACCTACATAGGTTTAAAGGATATCTAACGGTAGATCCATCAAATATGGTGGTTTAATTATTTGAGCACACACTACAATCAGCCAATCACCGCTTTTAAGATAGCTATTTAAACAGTTCATTGTTCAAATTCAAGGTTTGTTTTTGTTTTTTTAAATAGCTATTACTTTTCATTTATAAACAGCACAATATTAAGTGAGATCTAAGCTCTTCCCCTGACAATGGCAAGCAGGGATTGCACATTCTGGAATACTTTGTCATCTTGGATTCTCTACGTTACCTTGCTCAGGATACTCTTGAGAATCTTCAGGCATCCTGATCTTATACTCTCCAGGTGGATTGAGTCTACGACACTTTCTAGCCAACATATTTCCAATGACAATTTTGCAAATTTCAGTCCTAATACATCTGAAGCATACCACTGTGGGGAAACTGAAATAACGAGCAGCTTGCAGTTCTGATGAGGTTGGTCATCTAAGGATTTCAGATGCTGTTCCTGGTCATTAGAATATAGAAGTAGACTATGGAATAACAGAGTTGGAAGGGACCTTGGAGGTCTTCTAGTCCAACCCCCTGCTTAGGCAGAACACCCTATACCATTTCAGACAAATGGTTATCCAGTCTCTTCTTAAAAACTTCCAGTGTTGAAGCATTTATAACTTCTGGAGGCAAGTTGTTCCACTGATTAATTGTTCTGTCAGGAAATTTCTCCTTAGTTCTAAGTTGCTGCTCTCGTCGATTAGTTTCCACCCATTATTGGATTTATAAAATCTTACAATTCCCGAGCCGCAGTTCCATAAACCAAAGTTGTAAAAGAGACCAATCGTTGTACAACCTCTGTTTATTTTAAAATCCCATGCCTTTGAACAGTTAACTCTAGGTTGCACCTTTGTGATCCAACCCTGAAAAAAAAAAGCTGGGAATATTTTGATTTTAAAACAAGAAGAAAAAAAAACCAACCCTGCATCTTGTTATAACCATGTATCTTCTTTTTACCGTTACAGTTAAACGTACTACGCTTATCTTTTCAATTATTGGATCAGGAGGTCTTTCCAATATTGGGCTGTAAATATAGAGAAAAGTTTTTTGTAAACTTTTGTACAAAAAAATGTAATATTTTGGTAGGAATACTAAAATCATATTCTTTGGGTTATATTTATACACATGTGGAATAAAAATGTATTGTCCAAACTTTGTATTTTATACTGCAAAGGAGATTTTTTAAAAATTCCTTTCGTATTTGAATATACAATGTATGGGGCGAGGGGAATTGTACGATACGATTTAAATTTTTCCAACCCGAGATATATGCAGAAGCTTATATAAGGAGACAGGAAGAGAAGTTTAAATAAAAGAATTGAGGACCCTAAATGCATGGCTTTGTCCTAAAATCTCAAATCTGATTTCATATAATTCATTACGTCAGGTTAACTAAGGATATTGGCTGCTGAATTCCATCTCCAGGTTGAAGACAGCTTTTTAGAAGAAACATCAGCTCTCTTAAATCTAAAAAAGGCATCGTTCCAAATGTGTTTTGCACCAGTGGTGGGATTCAATTTTTTTTACTATCACTTTTGTGGGTGTGGCTTTGTGGGCATGGCAGGGGAAGGATACTGTAAAATCTCCATTTCCTCCCCACTCCAGGGGAAGGTTACTGCAAAATCCCCATTTCTTCCTGATCAGCTGTTATTCAGGAGGCAGACAATAGATGGGGATGGGGCCAGTCCAGTGGTGGGTTTCAAACACGTTTCGAACCTACTCTGTGAGTGTGGCCTCCTTTGTGGG